GTAACTACTTTTGATAGTTCACTCATGAATCCTGCTAATGTGATTCTTCAATTGGAACCTGGGGGTGTTGGAGACATAGGACTATGGGATGTTAGTTCAGGGAAAAAGTTGCTTTCAAGAAATTTTAGAGTCCGGAATCTTGATGCAGGCCCGTTGGCCTTAAAGGTGCATCTGCTTCTGGATTATGTACTACTCCTTCAACCTTACTGATATGATCCGAAATTTGAACCAATGTCAATTATTTCAGGAAGCTCTGGTCAAAGATTCATATGTATCTGTTAATCGTATCCGATAGAGTCCTGATGGTTGTATATTTGGTGAGAATGTTCTCATAGTTAAAATGGTATGGAGTTGCTGATTTTCATTTCTTGTAGTTCATATTCACTGCCGTCGTGTTTCATTGAACAGGGGTTGCATATGCAAAGCGCACTTAGGAAGTGTAAATGATTTTGGCATTCTTTTCCCCTCACGACCAACTTTTGGTCATAACTTGTGCTGATGACAAGACCGTCAAGGTTGGTTTCATTAATGTATGTTTAAGGTTTGGGATATATTTTGTAGCCAAAGACTGTTTACTTTTGAAGGTCATGAAGCTCCTGTCTATTCTGTCTGTCCTCATACCAAAGAAAATGTCCATGTAAGGGCCACTTTGGGTATTGATGTTTTGGTTCTGGTGATGTTTTTGTTTTGAATCATCTGATTTACTTTCCGGTTCCTGCAATATATTATCCAACACTTTTTTTCATGCCTCAGTTGTCTTTTCAACATCAGTGGATGGCAAGATCAAAATATGGTTATATGATAGCTTCGAAGGCAGTGCTGTACCAAACTGGCTCATAGTGCTGATGTTCAAAGGTTCAGCTTATATGGCCTGCGATTGCCATCTTTTATTTCCTGATTGATATCTTTGGGTTAATATAGTAATGTTAGTTTTGATTGGGATCACGTAGGCTTTTTTTCATGTGGGATCAGCCAAGGAGGGAAACAATCAGAGCCAGGTGAAAAGAAACAGAGGCTAGACAACGTTTAATGAAGGAGAAGACTCCTGTATTTTCATATATCAAAGATGAATACATTACATAGTAATATAGGGCTGGGCTAGGCTATACAAGGCAAGTGCTGTAATTACAAAGAATCAAGATCCTATAATCAAGACCTATACAAGGTAACTAAATCACAATTGTCTCCACATAATCTGTGATATGATTTGCATATTTCAACA